ATACCTGGACTATACAGGGGAGTATACTTATGAATCACATACAAAAAGTGACTTTTCACACAGGCTTTTGTAAATGTACTTTTATATAATTAACATTTGAACCTGAAATGCATATGTGGTGTTGGAAGACTGATTATGCAAAATTAGTATCTCACCCAGTGTATCAGTTTCCTAGGCGTCTGACTTAATGTGTTTACTTTGCTGAAAAGCATACATTTCTATTAGCACTACAGTGGTAGAAATAATATACTAAGCTTTCACAGTGTTCCTCTGTGTGTGGTGTCAAAACTGTAAGCTAAAATAATAAAGAAATATCATTAACAACAAGAAACAAGACAACAACTGCAGCTGTTTCCTGAAGAGGAACAGAAAAATTATATAATGAATGAATTGAGCCAATATAGTGAAACAAAAGAGTATAAACATGGACCTCTACAGTGTCATTTTTGCAAAGTCATTTATCTGTCTATAGCTACACTCAGTCCATTTACATCAGTTTTAAAATCAGAATATATTAAACCTTTGAAAAATAAGTAAGCCTTGGAATTTGTGTTACAAATATGGATTTACACAGCTTTCCCAGCAGAGATTTTAGTACTGCATAAAGATACTATTGTCCAAACGTACTAAGTTCCTAGGCAACAAACAAGATGCAAGAATAAAAAGGTAGAAAAGCCAAAGCTCTTACTATCAAATAACTTTCAGGGCATTTTTCATCCTTTTCTTTTGTTCTTGTGCATTCTTTAAAGACTATATAGTCCAGATGTATTTAGAATAATTTTCTTCTTCAACTTCTGAAACTTTCTGAGAACAGAATCAGTTTTCAGTTCAGTATCTTTCAGATAAAAGATATTTCACACTTCAAGCCAATGTTTCATAGGTAACATATTTTCAAGGCCTCAGTATAAGATTCTAAGCTCTCAAAACATTTTAAACCTAAGTAAGTATACCAGGTAACATTGTTACTTAAAGTAATTAACATGTATGCTAGAAAAAGTAGTGTGATGCAGAACAGAAATAAAATTTATTTCTTTCAAAGTGTGATGGCTATTTTATGACTCCTTAAAATGAAAGGACTCCTGACTTCAAGAATATAAACATCTTTCTTTCACATCATGCAATCAATTCCACACAAGCAAATCTTGTGGCCATGAAGAGTCACATCTGCTTCCTTTGACTCTACAGGGATGGCAAAAACGCTGACCTGGGGTTCAGCATCCACTCAAACAAACATGCTCTCTAGCAAGCCCTGTAATTGTAAAGGTAAAAGGAAAAATATAGGCAAATTATGAGATGCAACATGATCCAGATGAGTATATATTTTGTCTCAGTTTCTGAGCTGGCAGTAAGAAAAAAAATACTACTGTACTATTTAAGCTACAGAAATACCTGCAAAACTCAATTTTCATCTAGAAACCAGTTATATGAACTATTGCTAAAAAACACAGAATAATAGGATCTTACCATCTAAATTCAGCACAACAACTAATAGTTATAGACAGGCCGTTAAACGCAAAGAATTAAGACCAAAACTAGTCCAAACAGTAGTCATGCTGGTCCAACAGGTGTGTCTTTCATTGGGATGTCTACAAAACAGGAGAGATGAGAGAAAGGCTCTGAGGAAGGTCAAAGTAATTAGTCTTCCAGTGACTGAAAACAAATGTGCCTCCTTCATACCAAAAATGCTATTTTTTTTTTTCAAGTTTTGCTATCTTGCAAATTTAAGAAGTAGGTAAAGGATGCTGCTTTAACAGACCAGAGGCAACAGTCACTGTCTCACTAGAAAACAAACAGCTGAGAGGGAGAATTTAGGCCATAAAAGGCCTTCAGAGTTTGATGCAATAAAGAAAGGGTAGCTCTTTAAGGAATGCATATATGTAACGTTGGTAAAAAACAAAATCTCTGGATAGGAAAATTGTCTCTCTGAGATATTCTTCAGAGATCTACTGTGGGAAAGACTACCTTTTCCTAGACCAGATGAAGAACAAGGCATAAAACTGAAAAGGGATAAGAGGCTGAACAAGAGATTTTTATGGTGCAAACATACAGATGGATCTTTGAGGATGTTGCATTAAAAACATAAGTAGAGCTTAGACAAAGTTTGTAGAGAAAGGGCCTAAAATGAGGTCCTACTGGAAGATGGCATGGAGACACTGACTTCAAAAACTAGACGAGCAATGTTGAGCAGTAGCAGGTATATAATACTTTCTATTTTGACAGTAGACCATACAAAGCCATGGAGAAGACACTTTTCAAAACAAAAACTACAACTGTGGCTGAAATAAAAAGGTCACTAGTAAGTAGAAAGAGTACTAAAAAAAAAGGAACGTCTGATGTTTTAAAAGTTCAAGAATAAGAGATCTAAATAACAAACAGTATCACATCTTTCATCTTCCTCCTTTCCAGCTTGATGGCTCGCTCTCTGAGTTACAGGAAGTTGAACGTCATAAAGATTTCACGTTTGTTACATACTTTCTGGATTCTAGTTATACCATCAGTAATGACTAGCCATCAGGCTAGAAAGGAAGACATTACATGTCATCAAATAATGCTCACAATGAAAAGTAAACCAAATATATACATAAGAAAATATGTCTCAGTGACAGTAAGGTATTTTTCCCCATGTATTATATACCAGTTGTGTTAATGACACACAGAGAAAAAACAGGAGGTGGTTCCTAGGCTTTGTAATTATTGCTTCAGAGATATGAAAGATCTTAACACTTTGCATGTATTCCTATAAATTAGATAGGGAGCTACAGGCCACTTAACACCAAAGCACATTGGAAGTCTTTTCCATAGTTTGTCAACCGCAGATTATAAGGGGAAAAGGTACATATGAGCTTGCCCATGCACTCACTACTTCTATCAAGGGGCATTACGCTTTTGTAAGAGATGGATTTTTAAAAATACTGTTATTTGCACCAGTTAGAAGATAGATGTCTAACAGCTTTAGGAATCTTGCCCTTTCCCTATTATTTGCTGTTTCCCTCTACTTGAGCACTAAGAAATCTGCTTCACCTTTGCTAGCAATTAGCTCTGCTGCAAGTGTGTAATTTTAAGTTTCAAGAACCACTGGGAAATAATTGTTTGTTTAAAATTGTCAGTGAAAATGGCTGTTTCTAGAATGTGGAACTTTTACATTGAGTTTAGATTTTTACAGAAAATGTTTAGCTGATTTATATTTAGGGCCAAATTTCCTTTGGCACTGTCCCATAAGCATTTTCCTGCCTCATATAAGCTTCCCTTGAAGGCCTGTTATTTCTCAATATCAATAAACACCCAGTTAAATGTTGACAATATTTAATTAGATCAGTACTGAGAAAATTTCCCTGCTTGTTAATGTCTTCCCATCAAAATTCAGGAAGGAAGTTTTCCCCTGTAGACACTAACTTCTAAATACACCAAGGACATACTTTATTTAGGATCCAGGACTGAAAAACATCTTGCAACACGGTGTATTAGCTGTTCTACAATTAAAAAAAAAAAAAGCAAAGCTTTGTATTTGCATGCTTCCTGCCCCTCTAAAAAAAAAAAAAAAAAAAGGCAACATACTCTCATCATTGTAGCAACTCTTCAGTACAGGGCAGATAAGGAAAGTGTGCCGGTATTAGAAACACTGCAGAACTCTTTCACCCAAGTGCTAGGTAGACAGTTTGTTTTGAAACAAACACCGAAGCGGGCCGTTTGCCCCATTTATGCGGGAGCGCGTCCGGCACGACGCCGGCACCGCTTCCTTGCGGGGCAGGAACCGGAGCGCAGCCTTTCAACCAGCTGAGTGACTCGACTCTTTTCTGCTTCACCCTCCAGCTGAGCAGGGGGGATGAAGGCCGGCCTTCCTCCCTGCCCCGGGCTCCCCTCCATCGACATCCCCTGGGCGGGGGGACGGTGCCGGCCCGAACCACGAGCACGCGGTGAGGCGAGCGACACCACCGCCTAGAGAAGCGGGGATTTTGGCAAGGCGAGAAGGGTGTCGTAAGCAAGTGTCACGCCTTGGCTCTTTAAACGAGCTGGAGCTTCTGGAAAAGCCAGTTCCTAAAAGGCAGGAGAGCGGCAGCCCTCGCCGGCCAGCGGCCTCCGGGCAAGGCCCAGGGCGGCCGGGGCGCCCCAGACGTGGCTCTGCCTCGCACCTCTCCGAAGCGCAAGCACCTGCCGCGGCTGCGCCGCCCCGCCAAAGGCAAGGGACCCGGGGGGGGGG